TCCCATTTCTGAGGAACCCTGAGAGGTACCAGAGCATAACACCAATGTTCCCATTTCCCAAGGATGGGCTAAGCCCAGATCAGGAGAAGCTCAGCCACCATGCTAACGCTTCAGGCTGCAGTATGTCTTGGACAAGAATAGATGGGTCTCCAGCCCAAAGGAGGACACTCAACTTCCTTTTCCTGAGGCTGTTTTGGTGTTGGATGCGAGTCTGGCCTGAGATGACACAGGGTTCTTCTATGGCAGTGCTCCACTGAAGGTGGCAATGGGTAAACAAAGGAGAGAATGAAACTCGGAGGGGTCCTGGGGAGGCAAAGAGGACCTTCTCAGTGCAAAGAGATCGCTGTCCCTGGGTTTGTAGCACACAGAGATGTCACACCTGCAGGGGAAGGAAAAGAAACCAAGATAGAAATGAGGTGTGTGGTGGAGAATCACAGTTCTCAGGTGCAGCAGAAATATCTGCAAACAAACAGGAATCAGTGCACTCTTAGAGGAGTGGAGTTTGAGTGCTGAGAGTTCCGGTCTTTAAGCTGGCTCAGATTGGGACCTAGAGCAGACATCCATAAAGAGTAACTTAGGAAACCTATTAGGGAAAATGAGAACTTTTGCATGCCCAAAGTTTTGGGAAGGGAGAATTAGATCCTTTTCCATTTCGTGCATTGAACTCTCCCACTAGCCCCTTGAGTTTCACAACAAACAAGTTCAGAAAACACTTCTCTTCAGGGTATTTAATCCTTAGAAATAAGATCCGAAATCTTTTGCCATCGAAGGCAGCGTAACCTTGTAGAGTTCTGCTCTCTCTGAGGGAGAAACGAAAATGCTTGCTCGTTTTTAATACCTATGGATCAACTAGTTTGATCTCTTTGTGCTCATGGAAGTATGCTGTCTACAACGATTTTTCAAATTCCAGCACATGGAGGGCCAGCTTGATGCCCTGGGGACTCAGCTGATGAACAGTCAAATGAACAATTCTTGCTCTACCCTAGTCTCTCCCACGCAGATCATGGGTTCCTTCTGCAATGGGCATGCCAGAGATGGTGAAGAACCCAAATGAGGTTTAGAAGTTGAAGGCTCTGCTCATATGCCCAGTGCTCTTCAAACACCTCATTTATGTTGCGTACCTTTCCTCTGGTCCTGCTGAAAGAGCTGTCTTCACAGAGTTTAACAGTTGACTGGAGACCACCCTTTAGACTGTGGTAAGTCATGAAGGTAAACTACTGCTGGGACCTCAGCAGGACCATCCATCCCACCTGAGCTCAGCTGAACTACAGCACTTGTAGCTATGTCACCCAGCTTGGGCATTTGGCACAGATCCACAACAGTGCTCAGGACCTTGTCCCCCCATTGGTCACCAACACTTCACGGACAAGTCCTTACGCACAGGATGCACCGTGCCAGGAGCGCTGACTGCGGTGGGCAGCTGGCCATGTTGTAGTTCCTACCTGGTTACGCTCTGCAGGATCTTCTGCTCATCCTGGTCCAGGCATACGGCAAAAGAGGACTGGAGACCAATAATCTGGACCTTGTCTACCTTTATCTGGGACACACTGATCTGCTAATAGAAAAAAAAAAAGAGTCCGAGTGAGGGATCTGGCAGGCTCAGCGCATTATCCCTGTGCAGGAAAGGGGAGCAGGGGAGCTGGGCACCCCTAGGGCAGGCTTGGTGGCCAACAGCAAATGGATGCCCTGAGGAGCTGCTGTCTCCTGCCCTGCTTCCCTCCCAGCTGAGTAAGGCTGACTTCCTCTTACCAAATGTAATTTGATTTGAGTTACCTGATTGAAACTTTTTTTGGATTTTGAGTTTTGCCTTTTGACTACCTCCGTCATGGTCAAGTTGAGACACTCTGTCTTTGAGGCTGTAACAAAAGAAAACTGTTATCACTTGAGACTTCTGGGCCACTGGTGGGAACCCAAGTGGTCCTTCCACCCCTCAAAGCATCCCAGAGACTAGTTCTCAGCAGGACACCACTGTCAAGGGAAATACAATCCAGTTCTGGCTTTCCTTCCCCAGTGCTAACCTACACGGAAAGAAAGAAATCAGAGGGACAGAGGTAAACCTCCGATTAATTTCCAACTGCTTTCCAAACACAGCAGCAAAGGGCATTTAACTCTCTTAGGACCTAAACAGAAGAAAACCCATTGCCCCATCGTCATGAGGAAATTCCAGTTCTCCCAGCGTGGCTTTTCCTGCAGTCCACCTGGAGATGCTTTTTCATGTCTGGAATTACAGTGACATCCTGTGGTCAAATGCTGAATGTGAAAACCAACAGAGGCAATCAAGGGCACGGGGTTTCTCTTGGAAGGAAGAGGTTCATGAAGGAGAAGCTTCTCCCCAACGTGGAACTGAGGACACCCCCTGAAGCAAACTCCCAGCACTGGCAGCACAAGCGAAGCTCCTGAACTAACACAGAAACACCCAACACTAAATGTATAGAGGAGGTGAGAAATCAATT